CAATGTCGTAGGGTGTGTGATGTAACCAGGGCAGCCCCCTCCCCGAATGACTGTGCCCATATGGGGCCACCACTGCACGCTGCATGTAGCTATAATCACAATACGACTGCGATCAGAGAGTGGAAATATCAAGCTTATCTATACCATACAAGTAACTTTACTTACAGCATGATCAAATATAATTGCTGCTTTTTTTCAACAGTCAATATTAATAATTATACTTCTTTATATTTTATCACCATTCTGCCAAACAAATAAAAGCCAACTCCATTTTTCCTTATAGATTTGCAAGAATTAATGAAGTCCACAATTTTCTGAAGCACTTGGAAAATTTGATTTAAATCACGTGTCCACATCGGTGTGTTTTTGAGTCTGAATATGGTCACTTGCTTTCAGAAATAAAAGACACGCTCCATGTGGAAGCTGTCCATGGACATTTGAGTTTATAATAACCTTCTACTGATGATAAAGATCTTTCCCTACTTTTCCAAGTCCGTGGGCTGAAGTCATGGGCATATTTAATCACACATGACTCCTGCATCGCTCCAGGTATCACTCACAATCTTTTTTAAATTCCATATACATTGTTCACTTTAATGGGTATCTAATTTGCGTTATCAGCTTTCAGGGCACTAAGTAATAATTTGCATGGCTGCCCTAAGCAAATATGCTTCCATAAGCAGCCCATAGAATAGACTTTGGGATGGATAAAACTCCATATTGGCCATGCCCCAATGATCAATGCTTTTAGAAAAAAAATAGCAACTTGTAGTTCGGTTTATGGGGAATACTGAAGGTGACAATTGCCAAGGAGAAAAGGTGCCTGTGGATCCCCCCTCCCCAAGTTCTTAAAAATCCCCACCCCTGCGCACTACAAATGTGTCTTATTGCTCCTCTACATAAATCCACATACTTCCTTAAATGTCCCCTTATTGTCAGCTTCTCTTCTAGAAATATCCACATTTTGGCTGGTGATGCACAGACTGGTGCATCAGTGTGCCACCTTTTGCTCCCTCCATAACGTAAAGCCTCCCATCCCTCCTCTGTAGTGTAAAGCCCCCGTCGCTCCCCCCATAACGTAAAGCCTCCCATCCCTCCTCTGTAGTGTAAAGCCCCCGTCGCTCCCCCATAACGTAAAACCCCCATCGCCCCGACTGTGATAACCACCTCCAGCGGGCTGGAGGTCAAGGTGATTACTTAGGCCTGCCAACTGCACGTCAGCCCCCTCCCACTGATAACCTCTCGTCTTCGGCTGCACTGACCGCCGGCTCCCCCGCATTTATCTAAAACGGCTTTCTGACATAAGAAGGGGCCTCGCGGGACACATCCGTCGCGACCCCATGTCAACAAAAATCAAAGAGGATGAGGCCTGTCTCGCTAAAGCAGCTCCTCAGGCATGAGTCTCTCACACCACCCAGGGTGCAGACGGTAATTATGCCCACAGCAGTATTTATACATGCTAAATGTCTTGGTTTCTCTGCGTTCCCTGAAACATTGGACTTTTATCAGCGTTAAATGTGGGAGGGACTCTAAATGGAGAGATAAGACCACAGATCCCACCGATGCTCATTAGCTGGTAGCTCTAGGTAACGGTGATGAGCATCTGCGATTTGCCTGGTGTGAGAAATCAACAGGCTTCAGCTCTATTAACACGCTGTCACATTAAACTGCTAAATGCTAACTAAGACTTAGGGGAAAACAAATAAAGTTACTCAGAGGAAACAAATAAAATTACTGTTTATATTCCTGCTTATTGAACATACTTTCTTAAACAAAAGTCTTTCAGAAACACTGGTGTACGAGGACTTTTACTGTGAAAAGTCAGATTATAGTGTCTGTATACTTTTGAGCCGTGGTCACAAGATCTCACTCCCCAGCTGAACACACGGAAGCATTACAGCCGATCCCGCCCCAAGTTCAATCAAATCATTTCAATATATAATACAAACAGCACAGCACATTAAAACCCCTGTCAATGGAGATCGATTCTAGCTGAGACACCAGCTAAGGACTCTGATTAAACCAAAGTCATGAGACAGCCCCTCCCCCCATTTGCATCCTGCCAGTAATCTCCACTACTTGGTCGAATCATAGTTAATGCAAATATAATATCAATGCAATAAGTATAAATAACTTTGCAGTGCTACGGTAGGAGGCCTGTCACATAATCAATACAAGCAAATCATGTACAGCATAAGCCTGATTATCCAGAACACTGTGAATATTAATGTGACCATTGAGATCAATCAAGAATCCGAATACATTATGTGTGGTGAAGGGTTATAGCAATGGGCTAATGTTCTTAGCATTTCTTTTGCATGACTGACCAACGGCTGGCAAACAGCCAAAATGGCTGAGAATGTCCCCCATGAACCAGGCACCGCGTGTAAAAAGACGGTATTGATGCTTCTCTGAAACAGGACCGACATATCAGCCCTGGTTCAGTCGGTTCTCCATCCCATAGATGGCTTTGCTACATTCAGGATAGTGACTTCTCTGCATCCCCAATACAGCAACCAGCATGACAGCATCCAGCATCTATCCTGCTAGAACATCCATTCAGTCAAGCGCATTATTTATTTCAGCAGTAGATGTATTTTTTGGACATACTAGAACTTTCCTTGCTTATGTCATCTCCCACTTAATGAGAAACTAATCCAGTCCAGTGTTTTGCTGATTGGCACAACACCAATGGTTTTTTCTGGGATTTGAACCCACGGCCTTCCGAGACGTACACTCTTTCAACCACTATACTACCTGCTATTTGGATCCTGCCCATTTCTGTGGAAATGTAAAGTTTTATTAGATCAGACTGATCCGGGGTCCATAGCCTTCACACAGTATGTCCACATGGCAAAGCCTTCTAAGATAAATATCTCCAGTTATTTCCACAGATATGTCAGATATTGAAATCATTGCATTGGGGGGTGGGGGTCAAGTGTACTAATTTTATTTCTGTTAAAAGTGGATTTTATAAAAATGACGTCTGGGGATGAAAAATGATATTCCCTGGGCTGGTATCTGACACAGAGAACGAAAGTGCTCACCCGATCTGGGTCTTACAACTCGGAACCGTCTCACACCCGCTGGCGGAGCCCCGGGGGGCACGGCAACGGCAGAACTTAATTAATTGTCCTGCCAGGGAGTGCAGGACGCAAGTTGGCCGGAGCATCTGAATGAGCCCCCACCCAAGGAGACATTTGGCACCTGGCGAACAACCGGCCCGCTAGACGTGCTGTTTCTCTGGTCTGCCACTGGGTCCCAGGCTACCGGGAAACGTGAGCAGGAGCAGCTTCAGATCTTTCCGGAAGTGCACCAGCCAGCCCGGGGAGGGCTCAGCGAGACGAGGAACCAGAGACACCGGAAACAAACCGAAAACGCAGGGAAAAATTAAATACACAAGGAAAGCACACTGCTGTTTGGCTCCGTAACTGTTCACTACATGAGTGAGGCATGGAAAAAACCTGATATTCACCCAAAAATAATGTTTTTAATGCTTTAACACCACCAACAAAAACATTTTTTACACAGACAAGCATTTAAACGAGCCCCGCCTTCAGAGCGGGAATTCTGTCAAAGTTCACATGTGCCGCACTAAGGAATGCCATGCAGTACGTGCGTCAAAGGCTGCAGAGGGTCTAAGGAGTAAACGGGATAGCATCTGGAACCTTCCTCGTTTCCAAGCCCCCTGAGGGCTGGCTGTAAATTTGCTTGGCAGGAGAACACTTCAGGCGGAGAGAGGAAAAAGTCAAGCACACCAGATCTGTTGACAACAATGGGACGCTATCTGTTACCTCTTTAACATGTAATCATGGGAGTGCGTTAGAAGCCCCTTGAATGGAGTGGGGGATCTCTGCATACCTTTGTAGAGACCCTTTTGAAGCGGGCACGGTGTAATCCTCACAGCAGATATCTCCTGCCTTACAGGAGCCATCTGAGGAGAGAAAAGCCAGTGCTATCGGTTACTCCCCAGGAGTGAGGGACTCAGGCAGGAACATTGTCCCAAACAGATAAGACAGGGGACCACAGACACAATGGCAGTGTTTGCTCAACATACCCACTCTTGTTCTTTTTTCAGTCTTCAGGCCCTCTGAAGTTGGTCTTCATTCTCATGTCTCCCAAACATCATCTCCATCCTCAAGAACGACACACACACAAACAATCTTATCGTGCCGCTGTCTGTGTACCAAACAAAACACGGATTTCTCCCAGGTGTTGTGCATAAAACACCAGTTCACTTCACAGCGTGGGCTCATCAGACTTAACCGGGGGGTTGGCATACTCACTTCCCAGCGATAAAAGCAGAATGAAATTATAAGGCTTTGAACAGGTGGGAAAATGGGAAAGTACAGTTTTTTAAAACCACTGATGTCTTAGATAAATTTTATTTGAAATTACAAATAAAAAAACAGCACAGTATAGCTCTGCAGAGTGGTATTGTCAATTCCCGTCACATATCAGACTTTTCAACAATGGCGTATAAAAATAAAACAATAAGAAAGACATTTTTCAATACTTCTTTAAGTGGCTTCTTTGTCGAAGTTAGCCAAGAGAAGCATGTTCCGCTTATAATAAAACGTCCAGTGGCTGTAGTGGACAATCAAACCGTGTAAATGCTACTGGCAGCGGGGTGCAGACACACACCCAGCCCGGTCCCAGCACAATGTCCCAGTTTATGTGAGCGGCGCGGTCCGTGGGGAGTTTACAGCCACGCTGTTTACCGGCTGAGAAGCGAAAGCACACATCAGGAATCACACGGCTAGCATAATGCGTCTCGGGCCTCAAAAGCAGACCAATCACTGCGCATTAAGGCCGGCCGGACAAAAGGCAACAATGGGCTTGCATAAACACTATTTACAACTATTCACGGCGAATTGAAGAGATGGGCGTCGACTCAGTATCGCGGCAAAGCTAGCTCATTGTGCGGAGGTGAAAGGGAGCCTAATGAACAGGAAGCCTCATCCGAAAGAGCTGACAGTAACCATACAACAGCCACATTGTAGGTCTGCCATCAACCCTGTGGGTCTCCACATTAGAAAAAATGAGGGGGGGTTAAATTCAGCTAAAGAAGCGGCGAGAGTTTGGCGCAAAGTGAACAGGCCTCTGCCACAGGCGGGACAGACGCCATCTGAAGCGTCTGCAGAGTCACCGGGCTGGCATGCAGAGCTCGGGGTACATCAGGAGGGTGCCCTTTAAAGTTCAGCTGCCCCCAGTCTTGACTCACTTAAACCCCCCCCCCCACTTTCTTCGGAGGTTCCCTACAGCTCCTGACACCTCATTAAAGTCACGGCGGCTTCATCAATCCTGGCCGCCGAAGCTTCTCCAGCTCCGTCGCCGCGGTATAATGCGAACGGCTCAGGCAGCACCGCAAATGCGGGAACCTCGCCGCATTAAACCAGATCGCCAGCAGTCCGACATGTAGGCTTCTGTTTTAGCAAAGCCGGTTCCCAACACAACCACACACACACACACACACACAAACCTGCAACCATGTCTTTATGGGGACTGCTGATTCACTTCTACGGGAAAAATGCTAAGTTTTTGCATTCTTAGTTTTTTTATTGCAGTTACAGATTTTTAGCAAATTAAAATCCACAACGCACGCACGCACACACACACACACACACACACACACACACACACACACACCCAAAGCCTCACTGACAGTCCACAAAAGGGGTGACATCACCCATGAGCAGCCCCTCCTTACGCTCAGGGCTGTAAGTTACCTTCTTTAGCGATGAGGTCAGCCTCTCTTACCATTTGCGCACCTTTCCCCTCGTCTTTCATGGCTGAAAAGTGAAGGGCGTTTTGCCAGTGTGGGGGGATGGGGGCACATTTGACGTGAAGGCTACTCTGTGGCTTAGGGATGGATTGGGCCTAGCGTCATTTTTATTTTTTATTTTTAGTTTCCTGTAATTAGGTATTTCATCCCCTGGCTACTACACATTACACACCAACAGAGCTGCTTCCCCCCCTGCTCAGCAAAGTTTATCATGGGAGACTCCCAAGCTCAGCAAAATTCATTATATGGAACCTCTTGTTCAGCAAAATTTATCGTGGGGACCCCCCACTCAGCAAAACTTACCCCGCTCAGCAATGGTTATCGTGGAGGATCCCCCTGCTCAGCAATGGTTATCGTGGAGGATCCCCCCGCTCAGCAAAGGCTATCATGGAGGATCCCCCCGCTCAGCAATGGTTATCGTGGAGGATCCCCCCGCTCAGCAAAATTTACTGCAGGGGACCCCATAGTCCAGGGCTAATTGTTATTGCCAGCCCCCGCCCTCTAGACCAACTACAGGTCTGTGGTCATTTGAACACCGCCCTACACAAAAGCCAAAAACCACACCGCTGAAATGCGAGCCTGCTCCTTAGCCGGGAGTGAGATTAGCAGTGTTACCTAAGAGAATCAGAATGTCACACGGAGATGACACCGTTCCCACTGTTCATCCCATGAAATGAACAAGATAAGGTAAATCACTCACCGAGCGTGAGCAAAGGCGAGGGAGCACAGCAGTCCGAGTCCATCATTCGAACCAACATTATGGCCAAAACCACCAAGTGTGAGCTACAGACAGGTACCGTCAAGACAACCTCAGTGGTGCAGGTTAGACTGGGGAGTACATCAGCCACTGGGGGGCTTAAGAAAATGCTGAACCGGCATGATACTGTACAGAAAATGACTCATAGAACATATTTTCAAAGTACAGTAACGGCAGTAAAATCCCTCCTTGTTATAGCCTACCTTGCCCTTGTGTAAAAGGCATTTTTGCGTTTAATTAGTGAACAAGTACATAGTCACCTTGCCGGATCTTTTTTTCAGTTTTGCGACAAGCCTTTATGCGTCATTTATCTGAAACTACCATGATTCCAAGAAGAAAAAAAAACAGGTGGTAGGTGTGGAGAGATAAGAAATGCAAAAATACTCTGAATATCAGATCGTGCATTTCTAAAATAACAGCTCAGAGAGTGATCGCATTTTAGGCCGGTGGAGATACAGTATGAAACGTCCTTGTTTACGTTTCTCACCAGACCTAAAATAGTCATGTCAAGCGTAGGAGAGTTTGTCTGATGTTCAGTTTGTAGGCACATGGAGGGTGGGGGGTGCTGTTTCAGACATCCCGTCTTCCTGTAACCCCCTCACATTGCCAGCACGGAACAAAGGTTGCAAATTCGCTCGTCCTAATCCTGCCACAGCCTGTCAAAATTTCCTTTCCCTGCTGTCTCACTAGATCTACCTGGGAGCGGGGAGATCCAGGCCTGATCACAGGTCCCACCGCTTCTTCACTTCAAGGTCTCTCCCACCTCAGTTGGCTTCACAAAACAAAAACATATTGGGCGCGAGATTTTTCTGTTCAAAACACAATTCATTAATCTTTTTTAATTTGAAGTTTTGCACCTGACGCTTTTCTCGGAAGTCCTCACTCCACTTATCAGTCAACTATGGCACACTTGAGAAACAGGCACCGCACCTCCGAATAAATCACTCAGTAAGTAGGCCTATTAATCCCGTATCAGAGCCTCCACCTGTATTTTACTGAATTCCTACACGTTCGATCGCGCAGATTATGTTCCCTCATTTCCCTTCGGTTTAAGCTACTTTGGCAGCGCTGAACGCCGCATCAGACCCCAAAATGCCATTATTATTATTATTGGGAACAGTGGAGGTATCAGGTTAATGATACTTATTGTGCAAAGTTTGCTGTCGCTGTACTTGTCGCAGATGACATGGGGGCCGATCGGGGGCGGGGGATATGAGAAGCAGATCGCTTCCCCGCTTATTCCCAATGCCGGGGCGCAGTCTGCGGCGGGGCTGCTGAATACCGCCGGCGCTTCTGAAGCGCACGCCGCTACATCTGCTCCGGGCCGCTCCCTCCCCGCGGTCCTGGCCAGCTGCCCTGACTCCCGACACAAAGTAATCACAGATCACGGCGTTTAATCACAGAAACAAGCACTCCAGAGGACCGCCGTGTCAATATCCCACTCTCTCATTATCTGTTTGGATTGCACATCCGCACTGTCAGATAAACAGAGTGGAAAATTAAGATTAAAAATATGGTAATTTCATTTCAGGCAGGAGGGCTCCACATACCGGCCCATTATGCTATTGATTACCCCTGAATTCAATTTCTCTTTCAATGCAAACTTTAATCTGTGCGCGGCCCAACAATCCGAGCCCCCTGGGAGCATTTGAGAGTAAGTAACCATTTAATATGACGCTAAGAGAAAAATCACTGCCTTTAATGAATTGTGTAAATCACTCAGCTTTAAAAGACCGTATGGCCCTCAGCTCCACACACACCCACCCCCAACCGTCCGTTTAACAAGTGCTAAACGCCGCTAAGAAGGATAATTGTGCTGTAGGTCCGGGACAAAAACAGGGCTCATCTCGCAAGCTGCATTTGAAAAACAGCTCCCCGTTTTTCCATTGGCTTTGTCAATTACAGAGGTCAGTTTATACGTACAAACACACATGCATATTTACTGGTGTACTATAAACACAATGCAAATCTTTCTTGCATTATTATTTACTGATATGACTTTAATTATACGGTACGACCGTGTAGCCTGCTGGATAAGCGGTTATTGAATGTGGATGGGTGGACTTAAATTATACCTCTAAATAACAAAATATAGACAAGAGGCTACTTGGAAAGATATAAAATACACAGAAAAAAGGGGGCAATCGTTTTTTCTAACAATGACTAGTTAGCAGACCGCAGAGGTGTCATTACGGAATGCACCAGATGCACGTGCTGTGTTTTTCTATCTTTTTTTCTGGGTGATCTGACAAACACTCTTACTGTCCACACTTGTAATCATCAATTACCCGCTCTTCTGCACGCAAGTGCTTATTAGGGAGATGGGCAGTTTTCGCCGGGCGCTGCCTGACGTGTTTTCTCCGATGCCTGTCAGATCGGCCGCGGCGTATGTGGCTTTAACCGCGACGAGAGCCATGGACAGCAGCGGGGGACAGCAGCGATTTAAACGGGGGGGACTCAATCCCAGTGCTGTGTGGATTAATATTTCTCATACGATTTACCTAACCGGTCTCAAGCGCAAATATTCGCTACTAAACACATTTTTTGGAGCCAACGTGATTAGCGATATACAAACCATGCAGCTTTCAAACGCG